TGCCCTGGGGTACACAGGGAGGCATGAGGCTGCTCAGACCCCATTGTCTGTCTATCCTCAGCTCAGTACTGCTTCTGCAGGGCATTTGGCATCTCTGCCTGCCAGCTCTTTATTTTGCTTTTGTTGTTGTTTTCTGGTCCTCACCTCTTGGATTCTTTAGAGTTTTTTTATTTCATCCTCCCCTGGGCCCCTCTTGTGTGATGGTGGGGAGCCTGGGTTTGGGCAGAGCCAGGACCCCTTTCAGGGACACATACCTGCTTTTAACTCCTTTGCTTCCCTCAAACTCTCCCTCTCTCACCTTAATTTAGCACACTTCGAACAGTCAATGGTTTGGGAGGCAACTGGTCCCACCTGATGGCATAATTTCCCAAATCTTTTTGTCCTATAAACCCATCTAAACTTTTAAAACTTAAAAGACATGAATTAGATTCTCTGGTTCTGCTCTGTCATCCTTTCCCTGAGGGTGGTGAGTATATAATTTCCTGGTTCCCACTGCCTAAATTGGGGGAAAGAGTCTTGGTCACAGAAATATCGTAGAAATAGCAGTTAAGATACCAACATATAAAAGAATAAAGGAATGTGTGGGCCACCTGCCATGTGCTGAGCACAGTGCTAAATGCTTTAAATGAATTATCTCATTTAATCCTCTCAACAACTTTTTGTGGTAGAAAATGAGGAAACTGAGGCAGTGAGAGATTAAATAACTATGAGACCATAAGGGTCCCATTCAACTGGGTCCAAGCTCATTCATTCACCAAATACTTATCAAGCACCTACTGTATGTCAGGCAATATTCTAGGTGTTGGGAATATAGCTGTGAAGAAGATAAAGTCTCTACTCCTAATTTGCTTCTTTTCTAGTGGAGGAGAAAGACAAAAAGCAAACATGTATGTATAATACATATTATATATATGTATAATATGATGCTAGATAGTGATAAAAGGTAAATAAGAATGAGAAAAGTAAGATAGGGTGAGGTGATAATACCAGAAATCTGGGGTGGAGGGTATGTTACATGGACTGTCAGGGAAGTGATATTAGGAAGGACCTAAAAAGAAGCAAGGCAGTAAGTCATGGGAAGACCTGGGAATAAGTTCTAGGCACAGTGAACAGTAAGTGCTAAGATCCTGAGGTGAGAATGAGCGGGGGATGTTCAGGGAACAGAGAGAGGGCGTCTTTGTGCAGGGTGCAGTGAAAGAGAGTGGTAGGAAATGGGGTTGAAGAGAGATAATGAGGTTGGACCGATAATGTAGGGTCTTTCAGGCCGAGCTAAGAAATTTTAGTTTTAATCTGAATATCATGGGAAACCATTAAAATGCTTTGAGTATGAAGGTGATACTCTCTCTTTTTTTAAAAAATTGAAGTATAGTTGATGTACTATAAGTTACAGGTTTACAGTATAGTGATTCACAATTTTTAAAAGTTATACTCCATTTATAGTTATTATAAAATATTGGCTATATTCCCCCTGCTGTGCAGTATATCCTTGCAGCTTATTTTATACCTAATAGTTTGTACCTCTTAATACCCTACCCCTATATTGCCCCATCATTCTTATTTTAAATGTTTGAAGTAATATTTATGAAGTACCTACTATGTAATTGAGGTTCATACGATGAGCTTTACTTTGCCTCTAAGGAGCAGTATGATTTGGGGTAAGTCTCTTAGCCATTATATGTCTTGTGGTCTTTAAAAGAATTCCACATATTCAAAATATACAATCTGATAAGTTATGACATATGTACACACCCACAAACCCATTACCAAAATTGAGATAATGAGCATATCCATCATTTCCAAAAGTTTACTTGTGCTCCTTTGTAATCTCTCCCTCACATCCCTGCACCCCACTCAGACCCAGGCAACCACTGCTGTCTGTTACTATAGATTAGCTTGTATCTTCTGGAATTTCATATAAATATTTATATAAATAATAGTAAGTGCTATTTTTGTCTGGCTTCTTTCACTCAGCATAATTATTTTGAGATCTATCCATGTTGCTGTATTTATCAAGAGTTCATTCCTTTTCATTGCTGAGTAGTATTTTCATTGTATGGATAAAACAAAATTTGTTTATCCATTTACCTGTTCATGGATATTGGATATTTGGTTTTTTTCCCAGTTTTTGACTGTTACACATAAGGCTGCTATGAAAATGTGTATGCAAGTCTTTTAAAGGGTACACACCTTCAGTTCTCTTGGGTAATCATCTAGGAGTAGAATGGTTGGATCATATGGTAGGTTTATGTTTAAGTTTTTAGGAGGCTGCCAAACTGTTTCAAAAGTTGTGCCATTCGACATTCACATTGTTGCTCCGTATCTTCACCAAAACTTGTTATGATGGGTCTTTTAAATTTTAATCATCATAATAAATGGTCTCCAATGGTGCTTTTGACTTGCATTTTTCTAATGACTAATGACATTGAACACATACTGGAATTCTAATACCCAGTGTGATGGTGTCAAAAGGTGGAGCCTTGGGAGGTGATTAGGTCATGAGGGTGGAGCCCTCATGAATGAGATTAGTGTGTTTTTGTTTGTTTGTTTTGTTTTTTGTCACAGGCTTGTGGGATTTTAGTTCCCCAACCAGGGATTGAACACAGGCCCTTGGCAATGAGAGTGCAGAGTCCCAACCACTGGACCACCAGAGAATTCCTGAGATTAGTGCTTTTATAAAAGAGATCCCACAGAGTCCCTAGCCCTTTCCAGCAAGTGAGTACAGAGCAAGAAGTAAGCAGTGTGCAAACCTGAAGAGGACCCTCACCCAGCTATTCTATGCACCTTGATCTCAGACTTTCCAGCCTCCAGACTGTGAGAAATTTCTGTTGTTATAAGCTGCCCAATTGGTGGTATTTTCTTATTGCAGCCCAAGTGGATTAAGACAGTGGCCATCTGCAAGCTAAGGAGAGAGACCTTAGGAGAAACCAGAACTGTAGACACCTTGATCTTGGACTTCAAGCCTCCAGAACTGTGAAAAAAAATTTTGTTTTTTAAGCCATCTATTCTGTGGTATTCTGTTATGACTGCCCTAGCAGACTAACATAGCCTCCGGTAAGGAAATGATGACATGCCCACTGCTGCCCCTGCATTTGTAACAGGAATAGATAGCTCCTGTTTACAGCTATGGACAAACATGGAAACCAGGCACATTCCCCACCTTCCCTTGGCTGGCATGTCTAGTCCCTAAGAATCTTAGATGAGCCAGGTGCAGGTGTAAGGGAGAAGTGGCCATCTCTAGAAGGGATTGGAGTTCCAGGCTTTGAGCAAATCTCACTTCTTCCTCCAAAACAGACATTTTTAATGTAGGTGAAATTAAAATAAAATTGTAATTTTAGTCTTGAAATTTTAATTTAGTACAGAAATTGTCATTTTCAGGCTTGAAGCAGAAAATTAATCAAAAGAGGGTCATAAGGCAGGTATTTGTGGAGACGGGGGTATTCATGAGTGTTGTACATAAAAGAATGAGTTGTGGGCTGTGTTAGGCTAGCTGTTTTCTATAGGAGCCTTCTCTGAGTTTTCGGCCCCAGTTGGGGCTGACCAGAGCAACTTCCTTGTCCACTTCTTGGCCTCACTGAGTTTGGTGAACTGTAGTCTCCCAGAAAGTCCCTATTGGTTGGCTGAAGGAGAGGATATTACTTAGGGCAACTTTATTCATCTAGAGCAGCGGTCCCCAACCTTTCTGGCACCAGGGACTGGTTTCGTGGAAGACAATTTTTCTACGGACCGGGTTAGGGGGAATGGTTCAGGCAGTAATGGGAGCACTGGGGGGCGGCAGATGAAGCTTCGCTGGCTTGCCCGCCACTCACCTCCCGCTGTGCGGCCCGGTTCCTAACAGGTCGGGGACCGGTACCGGTCTGCAGCCTGGGGGTTGGGGACCCCTGATCTAGAGGGTTTAGGAAATGGAGGTAGAGTTTAATTGACTTCAATCCAATCGCACCTAATCTGTAAATTCTTGGAAGAGCTCATGAGGGCGACGAAAGGAAATTTAGCTTTTTCTTTTCAGTTCTCTTCCTGTGTGCCAAAAGACAGCATCCCTCAATCCATACTGTACTTACATTTTTTTCTGGATGAATTGGAAAGAGTAGCTCCAATACCCGCTTCATCTAAATCTGCTTTTTTTTTTTTAAATTGGAATTTGCAACCAGGAGCTCCACATTGAGATGTCAGGAATAGGTACAGAATACAGATTAGAGGATAGTTTTAGGAGCACTGGAGTGAGAACCAGTGGATTTCACCCCTAGTGCATCTATCCTCTGGGGCTCAGACTAATCTTCTCAAATATTTGGAGTTCATTAGATGACATCCACAATTCTTCAGCAAATTATTTTTTGCCAAGCATGTTCTAGGCGTTGCTCTTTCCAACTAAACAATTCTGAAATTTTCAGTACTTTTGAGCAACTCTTCAGTGTGTTTAGCCTGGAGTTGAGCTGTGTGCACTCCACTTCAGTTTTTTTTTTAATTTTTAATATTTATTTATGTACGGTGTATTGGGTCTTAGTTGTGGCATGCATGCGGGAGCTAGTTCCCGACCAGGGATGGAACCCGGGCCCCCTGCATTGGGAGTATGGAGTCTTACCCACTGGACCACCAGGGAAGTCCCTCCACTTCGGTTTTTGCAGTCCTGTTCTCTAGAAGCTCACAGGCTGAAGCAAGTATAAAATGGTACAAGAAACTGATGATCAAGTGTTTAAATGTACTCAAGGGTCTAAACATCTCGCCTGGCCCAAATCAGTAACGTGAAAAGACGAAAGGAAGGACACAGTGACCCCTGTGCCCACCAACTCCTGGGCGCGGAGGCGTGGTCAGCCCTGAGTGGCCTGGTCCAAGGCCAAAGGACTAAGGGCCCGCGGGGCGCGGCGGCGGCCGGGCGGGGCGGGCGCGACCATTCCTCCGGCTCCACCCTCGCCCGGTAGCGGCCTCTTTAAGAATCCGAGCCGCTAGCGGGCCTGCTGGCACTCACGTGACTCCGCTCAGCTCACTTGCTCGCGGAAGTGGTCCAGCCTCCGCGTCCCGCGAGGCGGTCTCCGGGTGCCCCGCGGGGCGGGCTGGCCGGAGCGGGCACCGCCGGGCGGCCCGCAGCAGGTTGCTGAGATGGTGCAATTGTACAACCTGCACCCGTTCGGGTCGCAGGAGGTGGTGCCCTGCAAGTTGGAGCCTGAACGTTTCTGCGGCGGGGGACGCGATGCGCTGTTCGTGGCGGCCGGTTGCAAGGTGGAGGCGTTCGCAGTCGCCGGCCGGGGGCTGTGCCAGCCAAGGTGTGCCTTTTCCACGCTGGGCAGGGTGCTGCGCCTGGCCTACAGTGAGGCCGGTGAGTAGCGGTGGGGTCAGGGGGCTCCTGGGCCCCGGATTGGGGCCTCCTTCCTAGAGAACCGAGCGACGCCTATAGCTCTGGATGGGGAAGTACTTTGTGCTTGCCGGACGGTCTTGCCGGGTCTGGCGGCTGATGGAAGTTGTGCGCTGGGCGGCCGTCCTGGCAACCACAGGTTAGAGCCCGCCTTTGGTGGGCGGGGGACGCTGATAGTTCCTGCTTTTATGGCGTCCTCGCCGGGAAGTACCTTGGTTGGGTGGCTGGATTCCACTCAACCCAGACACTTCAAACCAAATAAACTTCTTTTCGTATAGAAAACAAGTACACACAAAAGTAGGGAGAATAGTATCCTGAACCCCCAGTTACTCCCATCTTCAACAGTTATGCCAACTCATGGCCAGTCCTTTATCTACTTCTTGTCGATTTTTGAAAGCTCACGTTACATGCTGATTTTTAAATCTGTATAAATAGAGCTCAGGTCTTAGACCCCTTTTTCCCCCAACAGGGTAACAGCATCCACTACTCTTTTTCCACCAGAAACGTGAAGCAGTGCCAAGGGGGTACTGTGTGGGTGTATCCCTATTTTAGAAAAATCCAACATTTAAAAATAGGTACTTAAGATTACAGAAAAATTCACCATAGGATTCTTTTAACTGCCTGATAATACACTTAAAATTTGAATCCTGCTTTTCAAGAGGGGTGTAAAGGTGTAAATTGCAGTATTTAGGGTGGAAAAGCCTTTGGCTGAGGTACTTTACTAATAAAGTGGAGAGCGCGAACCTGGAGGATTGGAGATCTCTGCCTAATCGCTACTCTGTCTGCAACCTATTAGGTGTGAGTTTATAGAAACTTTTGGGTCTCAGTTTCTGTTTAAAAAAAAAAAAGAAGTAATTTGAATGCTAGATCACTGATTTCCAGACATTGGAATTTTGTGGATCAGCAAAGAATTGTGGGGCTACCATACACAGTATCTGACTGTTCATTTTGTCAAGTAAAGATATATATTTAAAAAAATGAAAAGCCCTACTGTTTACCGTCATCGTTATTTATACTGATAATAGGAGAAACACTTAGCTCCAAACATGGGATGTCTTTCTTTATGGGCAACTTACTATACTGTTATTATTTTTTCTTTTTGATTAGTGAAGACGTAATAGGGGCCCGCAGGCCCACAGACCAGTTTGAAAACCACTTATTAGATCTGTAAGTTCTCTTTCAGCAGAAGATTCTGATTTTGGTATGTTTTATGATATTACTCTCCTAATCATTTCACAATATTAGTAGTTTTCCCCATCCCACCTCCTTTTTAGACCTAGGAGTTCTCACCTTCAAGAGCTCTGCTGAGTGGCAAACTCACCAGTTTCAACATTAGTATGTGTGTGTCTGCTGGTGAGGGTGAGACAGACAAACAGACACTGTTTACATGACTTGTACCATTTGTCTTCCAAATGGACATTTAATCTAGAATTGGAAGTGGCAGGCGTTATGTAAACCTCTAGCTTTCTTGCCTGTCAGTAGTGGTGATTCTGGGGAATCCTTTGATGCCGCTACTTGTGTATAAAATACCCGATTCCTGAACCACAACCTTAGAGAAACTGTGTTTCCTGGGGTGTGGCCCAGCATTGGGTGAGTCTGGTGTTTAGTCAGGATTGAGAATCACTGACCTAGAGCCTTACTGGCTGCTGTAGGCGTTGAGTAGTATGGTACTGAAGCCTTGAAAAACAAAGATATTTTTGTAATTCAGTTGGCTGTCTTAAGAAACTTCAGGAGTCCTGTGGTATGGCATTAGCATGAGTCAGATAGCTCAAGGGTAACTTTCAGCTTGAACGCAATGCCTGGGTACAGCTTCTATCAATCCACAGGTAGCGGACTCCTAGCTATGTTGATATCCAGATAACTCGTCTTACACTTTCCAGCTTTTTCTTTTTTGTCTCTGTCCTTCCACTCACAGTAACATGGACATGGGGATTCCTGCTCTAAGCCCAGGGTCTCCTCCACCCCCCCACCCTGTCAAAAACAAAGTGAATCTTAGATCAGGGATTTATATTTACTGTAAACGCTTTGCAGGTCTCTTATCCAAACAGAAAACATTTTCAAGTTTTTGTGTGTTTTTTTCCATTTCTAATTAGCAGGATGCCAGTTTCCTTTCATAAAGTTTGGGGGTATTAGAATGTAGGTCAAAATTTTGAAGGATGGGCCCTAAATATCATCATCAGTAATGGAAATTTAATATAGGTTTTGTGTGTGAAGGGAGGAAGAGGAGATGTGAGAACTCGCTCTTGAGGGAGAAAGACCTGGTGGCCAGGGTTGAGTGCTGTGTGGGGAGCTCTGGTGCTGGACACTTGCTTATGGGGTGTCTGGAGGTGGTGAGGCAGAGAGGACAAGACCTTGTGACCCTCATTGCCTGTCCTTTAGCACAAGTACATTAAAGAGCCCTAGAATGTCTATTATCTTCCCCCAAGCCCTACCCTCCCTCAACTTTTTTAAAATCATAAAACATATTTTCATACATTGTATGTTATTTCTGCCTTCTGATATCCATTTTGTCATAGGAGTGCAGCCTTTTCCTTAATCTGGTATTAGTGTTAACCAGGTTTATGATCTTGTGCATAAAAGGAAAAGTTTACTTATTTTTTAAAAAAATCAATGACTCTCAGCTTAAGGATAAATATAAGAATGATTTTTTAATTTACTTAATGAAGACAGGCTGTTGTAAAATAAGTAAAATAAGGCCCTGGGCACATAATACCTTAAAAAGTTTAATTCCTTTCTCTTATAAAGGGCTATAACCTCCACAAAATCCTCTAGACTTATATCTCCTTTGGAACATTTTGAGAGACAGCGTGGAATGAACATTGGCTTTTGAGCTAACCAGATCAAGGTTTAAACCCCAATGCCATCCGTTTGTTGTCTGTGTTGCCTTAGGCAGGTTACTCAGCTTATCTGAGTCTCAGATTCCTGATCTATAAAATGGAGAAGGATATAATGTCTTGAAGAGTTGTGAGGATTAACTGAGAGAACTCTAAAGCTCTGTTCAAAAGGCTTACCAGGTAGACACAGCAAGTTCTAGTTCATCATTTGTAAGACAAGTTATTAATTTGAAAACATATTCATATTAATACAAGACAGCATAGGCACTATCTGTAGTTTGCAAATTATATATAAAACAGTTGATATATAGACTTTCCCAATGAAATAAGCATATATTTATAGACATACGATAAAAAGCTTTTATTATAACTAAACAAATATTCTTAGTTTTAAAATTCATTTAGTAACTTGAATATGACACCAAAGCACTGACAAAAGAAAAAAATAGAAAAATTGGATGTCATCAAAATTAAAAAGTTTTGTGCATTAAAGGGCACTATCAACAGATTGAAAAGGAAATCCACAGAATGGGAGAAAATATTTGCAAAGCATATACCCGATAAGGGATTAATATTCAGAATATATAAAGAACTCCTATGACTCAACAACAGAACAACCCAATTCAAAAGTGGGTCAAGGATTTGAATAGACATTTCTCCAAGTGGCCAACCAGCACATGAAAAGATGCTCAGCATCACTAATCATCATGGAAATGCAAATCAAAACCACAGTGAGATACCACTTCATACCCATTAGGTTGGCCATTATCAAAACAAATAGAAAATAACAAGTGTTGATGAGAATGTGGAGAAATTGGAACCCTTGTACATTGGTGGTAGGAGTGGAAAGTGATAGAGCTGCTGTAGAAAACAGTATGATGTTTCCTCAAAAAATTTATAGAATTACCATATGATCCAGCAATTTCACTTCTGGGTATGTACACAGAATAATTGAAAGCAGAGACTTGTACAGATATTTGTACACCAGTGTTCATAGCATTTTTCACTAGAGCCAAGAGGTGGAAGCAGCCCAAATGTTCATTGACAGGTAAGTAAAATGTACGATATCCATACAGCCTTAAAAATGGATGAAACTCAGACACAAGCTACACCACAAATGAACCCTGAAGACATTTTGCTAAGTGAAACAAGCCTGACACAAAAAGACAAATATTGTGTTATTTAATTTATGAATTCAGAGAGACAGAGTGGAATGCTGGTTGTCAGTGTCTGTGTACTCGAGGCACTACTTCTGATTTATTGCGGTGTTCAGTCCTAGTTTTCAGCTTTATTCTTTTTTTTTAAACATCTTTATTGGATTATCATTGCTTTACAATGCTGTGTTAGTTTCTGCTGTATAACAAAGTGGATCAGCTATATGCATACATATAACCCTCTTGCGTCTCCCTCCCACCCTCACGATCCCACCACTCTAAGTGGTCACAAAGCACCTAGCTAATCTCCCTGTGCTATGTAGCTGCTTCCCACTAGCTATCTGTTTTACATTTGGTAGTGTATATATGTCCATGCCACTCTCTCACTTTGTCCCAGCTTACCCTTCCCCCTCCCCATGTCCTCAAGTCCATTCTCTACCTCTGCGCCTTTATTCCTGTCCTGCCCCTAGGTTCATCAGAACCATTTTTTTAATATTCCATATATATGTGTTAGCAAATGGCATTTGTTTTTCTCTTTCTGACTTACTTCACTCTATATGACAGACTCTAGATCCATCCACCTCACTACAAATAACTCAATTTTGTTTATTTTTATGGCTGAGTAATATTCCATTGTATATATGTGCCACAGCTTCTTTATCCATTCATCTGTGGATGGACACTTAGGTTGCTTCCATGTCCTGGCTATTGTAAATACTGCTGCAGTGAACACTGTGGTACGTGACTTTTTTTTTTTGCGGTACGTGGGCCTCTCACTGTGTGGCCTCTCCCGTTGCAGAGCACAGGCTCTGGACGCGCAGGCTCAGCGGCCATGGCTCACGGGCCCAGCCGCCCCGCGGCATGTGGGATCTTCCCGGACCGGGGCACAAACCCGTGTCCCCTGCATCGGCAGGTGGACTCTCAACCACTGCGCCACCAGGGAAGCCCCTGTGACTCTTTTTGAGTTATGGTTTTC